TTCATCAAGAATATTTAAAAATTATAAGTATATATGCGTTGCCTTAGTCCATTTTGTGTTTCTATAGCAAAATACCCAAATCTAGGTATTTTATAAAGAAAAAATCGTTTATTTAGCTTACACTTATAGAGGTTCCATGGCACTGGAATCTGCTCGGCACTGGCATCTGCTCAGCTCTGGAGAAGACCTCATGACAGAAGGTATCACAATAGTAGGAGTGCATATGGGAGAGAAAATCACCAAATACAGAAGAGAAATTTGGATAGTTCAGGTTTCCTTATGACAACCTACTCTGGGGGGAAGTAATCCAGTTCCATGAGACCTGTATTGATTCCTTCCAAGGGTGGTGCCCCTGTGATGTAATTACGTTCCACTAGGCACCACCTCTTAAAAGTTCCACCACTTGAACAATACCAAATTGGGGACCAAGAATATAGCACATGAATCTTTGGGGGAAAATTTATATCCAAACTATAGCATGCATCAAATGTTAAGAGTGTCTAAATATATAAATCAAATATTAGTCTGGTGGGAATATAGACTGCAACATAATAATAGTCGGGAACTCTAATACTTCACTATCATTAACCATCAGAGAAATGAAAATTAAAACCACACCTTTTAGGTTTTTGGCTGCTATCAAAACCATGCTTATAAACAACCCATGGATTAAAGCAATCACACTATTAGATATATACCCAAAGAAATGAAATCATTTTGCTAAAGATATATCTGCACTTCCATCTTCATTGTAGCATTGTTCACAATATCCAGCTATGGAAACAACCAAAATGTCCATCAACATTTGCATGGATATAAAAAATATGGCAAACCCAGGAAAAGAACATACTCTTTTTATGGACTGTAGTATTATGTGAATGTTACATTTATTCTGAACATTTAGGGGCTGCAAAATGTAATGAGAAACTCATGACTAGATAACAATACTAGTTTTAGATAGTATGCCCTTGATTGAAATATTTAATTAAAATTTTTAAAAATTATTTTTTAGTTGTAGTTGAACACAATACCTTTATTTTATTTATTTTTATGTGGTGCTGAGGATTGAACCCAGGGCCTTGCATGTACTAGGAGAGCACTCTACCACTAAGCCACAACCCTTAACTGAATTTTTAACAGGTTAAACATATGAAATCTTAGAATGTTATTTGCTTTTAGTTAGATAAAATTCAGCTTTGCAATTGCTGGAATTGTCAAAGTTCCATGGTAATTAAAATCTGAATTGATTCTTATTGCAAATGGAATCATCAAACTAAAAATGTATATGTATACCCTTTTAAAAATGAATTTGCACTGGGTGTGGAGGCACATGCCTGTAATCCCAGTGGCTCAGGAGGCTGAGGCAGGAGGATTGTGAGTTCAAATCCAGCCTCAACAACCATGAGGTGCTAAGCAACTCAGTGAGACCATGTCTCTAAATAAAATACAAAATAGGGTTGGGATATGCTCAGTGGTTGAGTGTCCCTGAGTTCAATCCCTGGTACCCATCCCTCCCAAAAATAAATTTGCTATTTCTTGTTAAGCCAGGAAATTGAAAGGTAAGAGCTATGGTTTGTCTCATGCTGCATAGAGTATTTCTTACATAAAGACCTAATTGTAAATTGTTTTTTTTTTCATAGTTTTCATCTAAAATCAGGTTTATCTAAGGTCCCATTTTAACCATGGTTAATAGGAAATGCCTTTAACGAAAATTGCCAACCTTTACTAACATTTAACAAGAATATTTTTGTTAGAAATTTAACATAAAGTAATTACTTCTACTGTAAAAGAAGCTTGGGATAGTATGAAATAGAACCCAGGAAATTAGATTACTGTCAGCAGTTGCTCAAGATTCTAGCTGATAGACTGTTTGGAAAGGGGAATGCAAATAGAATTTGCTTAAGTTTTAAAAACATGCATGTTATAAGAAAATCAGAGGACTGAGAGGGAAAATAAACTGGTTGATAACATTTCTGGTGACAATTCTTTCCAGAAATATTTTGTACTTTTATTTTAAAAATGTATCCTGCTATAACAGTTTAATAAATTCTTTTAAAACTATAAAATATATGGCATATACACATAGTGGATTTATTCAGCCTTTAAAAAATGAGAAATTCTGTCATTTTTGACAATATTGACAAAGCTAGAGGACATTATGTTAAGTGAAATAAGTTGGGCAGAGTTACACATCCCATAGGGTCTCACTTATATGTGGAATCTAACAAAGTCAAACTCAGAAGCAGAAAATAGAATGGTGGTTAACAGAGGCTGTTGGGTGGATAGGGAAAAGGGAGACATTAGTCAATGGGTTCTAGTGGATAAGAGGATTAAATTTGGGTGTGCTGTTGTGTGGTGAGGTGACTATAGTACATAATAATATATTGTATATTTCAAAATAGCTAAGTGAGGATTTTAAATGTCCTCACTACAAAGAAATGATAAATACTTGAAGTGATGTATGTGCTAATTACTCTGGTTCAATTATTCCAGAATGTAAAATTCACTGAAGTATCACTTTGTATCCCATAAATATATACAATTATTATCTACCAGTAAAGATAAAAATAAAATTAAAAATATTATTCCAATATTCTAATAAAGAACAGATGGAAAATTTCAAATTATTTCTTTTAAACTACCAAACAGGGGTCTGGAGTTGTATGTAGCTCAGTGGTAGAGCACTTGCCTACCATGTACAAGGCTTTGGGATCAATCCCCAATATTGAAAAATAAATTTATGGGCTGGGGTTGTGGCTCAGTGGTAGAGAGTTTGCCTAGCATGTGTGAGGCACTGGGTTCAATTCTCAGCACCACATATAAACAAATAAATAAATAAAGGTCCATCAATAACTAAAAAAAAATTTAAAAAGCAATCCAAGTGATGAAACTTAATTAACTAGACATGTGAAAGATTTTCACTCTGAAACTATAAACAATGCTGAGACATATTAAAGAAGGTTTAAATTGATATATACTATATTCATGAATCAAAGCACTCAGTATTATTAAGATAATTATTCATACATTGATCTATAGATTTAATAAAATACAAATTAAAATTTTGAAATTTGGTAGAAATTAACAATCTGAATCTAAAAGTTCATATGGGAATGGAAAGACATAGAATAAGCATCATTCTTGCAAATGAAGAAAGTTGAAAGAATTGTACTACATATCTTAGTCTTACTATAAAGTTATAGTTTACCAAAACAGTGTGGTATTGACCAAAATTGCTAAGGTAATTTAATAGGATAAATAATCTTTTCAGCTAATGGGGCTGCATATATTGCACCTCCATAGGAAAAAAAATAACCTCAATGTAAATCTTACACCTTATATAAGAATTAAGTCCAAAATGGATCATGGACTTAAATATAATAGACAAACATAAAACTTCTAGAAAAAAAAAATAGGAGAAAGTCTTTGTGATCTGGAAGTAAACAAAACTTCATTAGATAAGACATAAAAAGCATAAATCATAAAAGAAAAAAATTAATGAACTAGATTTTGTAAAAAATTTAAGAACTCTATTCTTTAAAAGACTCACTTGTTATTTCCAGTAATTTTTATTGACTGATTGTTAGATGTGCATAAAATTTTAATGGCTCAAAATTATCCTTTTCTAGAGGGGGTGCACCTAGTCATTTTCCAGGAAGAGTGGTGGCTGATAATGCTAACTGAATCACAGACAGTGAGTCAAGGTTGTGTTAGGGCCCTAGAAAAAATGGGTTTATATCTGGTCCTCTTCCTCTAGGATTTTTATATGATTGCCTAGAATATTCTTCAGGGAATTCTCATGCTGGAAGGTACCAAAATCAAATTTTTGTCTCAGGGGACTTGTTCATTTCAAAGTTTTTCTGTTTAGTCTTTTTTTTCCATCCAACCTGAGCAGCTTCAGAATCTGGCAAATGTTCTGTTGAGCAAAGTGGTTTTGTGCTTAAGGACCTCAAAAAGTCTGCTGGTTTCTCTGTCCCCCACCACAATTTTATGTTGCTATATGCTAGGCATGAAAGACAAAAGATTTTAAAAGGTGTTTTAGGAAGACTGAAAATAAAAGTCCAGAATATTATATACTAAGCAAACTCTCAGTAAAAAAATATTATAGTAGTATAACTTTAGTCAAAATAGGGTTATCTAATTTACTGAAGAGAATCAGAAATCAAATACAAAGATATAGACATCCACCCAGGCATCTGGAATAAAAAAAGACAATGAAAAACTTCATGAATGAGCACTTTGAACATGATAGGATATCACGTTTATAATTAGGTAGATAATCAGCTGACTTGGTGTTAATCAAATGGGAGATTATCTTGGGTGGGCATGACTTAACTATGTAAGCCTTTAAAAGAGGGAGAAATATTAGAAAAATATTTATTTTGCTGGTTTCAGAGGAAGAGAGTAAACAGTCATGTTGTGAACTGCCAATGCAACCGGGTAGCCTCTAGGAACTGAAAGCTTACTCCAACCAACAGTGAACTAGTAATCCAAGACCTGCCATATATTAGCTGTAAGAAATTAAATTTGACCAAAAAATGGAGGAACATGGAAGGGGACCCTGGGCCCCAGATGATAACTGTATCCCTGACCAATAACTTTAACTGCAGTTTTGTGAGACCCTGAGCAGAGAACCCTGTGGGTCATGCCCAGCCTGCTGACCAAGGAAAACTGTAAGATAATAAATGTTATTTTAAGACATCAGGTAATATTTTACCCCCTCATTTCTACTCACATATGTTTTCTCTATCTTAAGACCACAGAGAATTTACTTTCTTGTTTTAAAATATGTTACACATTTAAAAATAATTTAAAATAATGTATTTCTCATCTTCATGTATTTGAAGTTGGAGGGAGGTTTATAAGTGTGTCTTATTTGACATGTAGGCCCAGAAATCCCAAAGCACTTTTAAATCAGCAATAATCCTCATAATAGATATGCCAATTGAATAGATTATGGATTATATAATAATATAACAATATCCTATAAAATGTTGTACCTTGGAGGAGCCAATGTTTGCTCTAGAAACTCTTCGATTTTAATGAAGTCCGTTTTCAACTCCTTGTTATATATCAAGAAGGGAGGATTGGTACCTGGGGCTAAGTCCTTCAACTCTTCAGGCTTTCTGTGATTATTTAAAATAAGTAGAGTTAGGTCTCTATATAAAGTACACATTATAAAACCCAATTACACAAGTGTCTACCAATTTCAATCTCCAGAATTTAACACGTCCTGATTTCTCTTACCTGGTCATATCAACAGTAGTCACATTAAATTTAACTCCTTTAAGCCAGAGAATCATGAAGAGGCGTTGGCAAAATGGACAGTTTCCAATACTCTCCCCATCACTTCCAGCCTATTAAGATAAAAAAAAAAAAGCCTCAGTTCATTCATTTGTTTGTTCAACAAGTATGTATTGAGTGGTTACTGGCAAATGAACTAGTTGCTGAAAAAAAGTTAGAACTCTTTAACATCATGGATTCTACTATCTGTGAGCTAAGAGAGATAATGAATCAAATAATCTCATTATATACAAAATTGTAAGTGTGATGAATACATGATAAATTTTTTATATTACAAGAATTTATATAACCATATTTTGTTGAGGGACATTTATAAGATTACAAAAATTTTACTAAAGACTTTAGCAACATACATTCTTGAACATATAACTTGTTCTACATCTGAGATTGTGTCTTTAGGGTTAATCTTTAAAATAAGAATGCTGGGTAAAAGTATTTTATATTTTGATATACCCTGCCAAATTTTCTTCCTGAAAAGTATCTTTCCATTTGTACATTGGCCATTTGACTTTTTTGTGAATTAATTGTTCTTGACAGTTTTCCATTTTTCTATCAAGGGGATAAATTTTCCCTGAGTTGGAAAATTATTTGTATATTAAAGACATTAATTCTTTGTGATGCATGTTACATGTAATTTTAAAAACATGTTATTTAAAAATTTAATTTATAATCCAAGTGGCTCAGGAGGCTAAGTTGGATCACAAATTCAAAGCCAGCCTCAGTAACTTTGCATGGCTCCAAGCAACTTAGGGAGTCCCTGTCTCAAAAAATAAAAAGAGCTGAACATGTGGCTCAGTGGTTAAATGCCCCTGGGTTCAATCCCTGGTTAAAAAAATTTACAAAATATCTATCATTCTTCTCCTCTATAGAGTCTGTATATATATATCAAGATTACAAACACCTATTTATGGGGTTGGTGGCGGGCGGCACGCAGAAGCAGGGGTGTCGCCCCCGGAAGAGGAAGGCTCAGGCCGCGCGCCATGGCCGGGCCTGGGGCCGGGCTGGCCGAGCGTGACCGGGCCGGGGCAGGGGTCCCGGGCAGCTCAGGGGCTCTAGGAGGGCCTGGGGGAGCTTGGGTCGAAGCTGCTGCCGAGGCTGCTCTGAGGCTGCCCACCATCCAGGCGTTCCGGCTGCACTCTGCTAAACTAGAATTCTTTATTCAGAAGATTCCTGTAGAGATCTTTCTCCTCATGTAAAACAAATGGAAGACCACTGTTCACAAATATGAGGACAATTTTTTTGAAAAGGGTTTGAGGGAAACAAACTTCTTGGTGCTTTTCCATGGAGAGCACATGACAGGCAGTTAATGCGTTGGAGGTTAAGTTGTTCAGACAACACAAGCAGAATTTATGAAATATGGATTATTTTTGTTTCTTTGTCCTATTTCTGAAAGTTTGTAGGTCCACTTATAATTTTTTTCAAGTGAGACATCCTTAAGTTGAATTTCAATGATTCATAGTTGTTATTGTTTTTATAAGAATGTGTTTGAAAACATTTATTCTCTGTGTACACAGTTTATGTGGGAAACTAGCACTATGATATCTCTTGGCTAGGAAGCCTGTATAAGGACTTTTTCCATCTGATACTAAGGACAGGTTTCATATGAACGTTACATCCCTTTTTCCCCCTGGAGGACTTCAGACCACACTTTGCTTATCCAAGTGTGGTCCTAGTGAAGCCAGATTTAAAGTTAGGTAGTCAGTGTAGTTAGGTAAATTGGGTCTAATGTCAAGTGAGATCTAAAATGGAGGCCATGTTAAGAATGAATTTCGGGAAAAGCAGAACAACTCTTGGAATGTTAATGAAGTCTGGGAAAAGCCCAAGGCCCAAAGCCCATCCCAAAGAAATCTTAATGAAGATTACTTCTTTGCCCCACCCTTTTTGGGCCTTCCCACCTACATTCCATCACTGAAAGAACTATAAAAAGGGGAAACCACCGCACTTCCAGGGATTCCACCTCTTGGGTCCCCTTCTTCCTCTGGGAGAAGTCTTTTCTACTGTCCTTTAATAAAGCTTCTACTTTCCACTCTAAACAAACAAACAAAAAACCCACCTATTTATTTCTTATTGTATTTTACTATAAAGAGCTTCTGTCACAGGCACGGTGGTGTATGCTTGTAATCCCAGTGGCTCAGAAGCCTGAGACGGGAGGATCACAAGTTCAAAGCCAGCCTCAGCATAGTGAGGTCCTAAGCAACTCAGTGAGACTCTGTCTCTAAATAAAATACAAAATAGGGATGAGGATGTGGTTCGGTGCTCCTTAATTCAATCCCTGGTACAAACAAACAACAACAAAAAAGAGCTTCTGTCGTGTTTTCTTCTAGTATTTTTATGGTTTCATTTTTTTGCATTTGTTTCATCTATTTATAATGTATTTTGGATTGAGAGGTGTATTGGGAATCCTACTTTAGTATTTTTAATTTTTTTTTTTACAAATAATTAATAGTTTCCTCATACCATTCAATAAAAAAACCCACCATTTTATCCTATGGATTGAAATAGCAACCATTTTTCTGCTTTAAAATTTTGTACATATTGAGTTAAATCTGTAGAACTTTTATTCACTCTCATTCATTCGACCATTCATTTACTTACCCAATATGTATTCACTTAACAAATAATTATATTTAACATATACTAGACTATGTGTATATATAATGTGTGTGTGTGTGTATATATATATATGAACTAGATATTAAAATGAAAATATTCCCCCCAAATTAACTCTCAGTTTTAAATAGAGATAAGTTCTGTGAAATAAGGAAGTGCATTTTATGAGTGTGTAACAGAGTAACCCAGAGAAAACTATGTGAAATCCATTAAGGAAGGTCATTATTGAGGAAGTGGCATTTAAATTGAATTAAAAGGAGGAATAAGAGGGCTGGGGTTGTGGCTCAAGTGGTAGAACACTCACCTAGCATGTGTGAGGCCCTGGGTTAGATCCTCAGCACCACATAAAAATAAAATAAAGATATTGTATCCACCTAAAACTAAAAAATAAATTTAAAAAAAGGAAGAATAAGAATTAACTACATAGGGGCTGCAGTTGTGGCTCAATGGTAGAGTGCTTGCCTAGCACATGTGAGCACCACATAAAAATAAATAAAATAAAGGTATTGTATCCAATCTACAACTAAAAATATTTTTTAAAAATGAATTAACTATGTAAATAGTCATGGAGAAGGCATTTTAAACAGAGGAAATAGCATATGCAAAGGTCTTGCAGTAGTCTTGCATATGACATGTATAAGGAACTGAAAGAAGGTCAATGTGACTGTGATTCAGCGAGTGAGTGAGAGAAGACAAAATTTAATAATACATCAAAGATAAAATCTTCAAAAGAATTGTTAGGACATTTTCCTAACAATGAAAAACATTTTGCATTGAAATAAAATATGAATGAAAAACTCTTAACACTCAATAACAAACTACCTGACTTTAAAAATGGGCAAGAGATTTAGACACTTTACAAAGGAAGATACACAGATAATAAATAAAGACACAAAAAGATTTTTATCATCACTAGTTCATGAGGGAAATGTAAATTAAAATCACCACTATGAACACATTAGAATAACTAAATTGGAAAAGATTGATCATACCAAGTTTTGGCAGGGATACGGAGCAACCAGAATTCTCATATACTGCTGTTTGGAGTATAAAATAATCTAACTGCTTTATAAACATTTGTCAAAGTTAAACACGTCTATTGTATGACCTAGCAATTCCAATTCTAGGTATTAACTGAATAGAAATAAAAGCATATATGTATAGAATGACTAGTACATGAATGTTTATAGCAACTTTATTCACAATATCCAAAACCTGGCAATAATACAAATGTTCTTCGATGTGTGAATGGATGAACAAATGATGGCAAATACATACAATGGAATACTTTAACAATAAAATGGAATGAGCTACTGATGCACAAAACATGGGAGAATCCCAAAATTATTATGCTAAGTCAAAGAAGCCATGCAGGAAGAATACATACTACTATATGATTCCACCTATAGAAAAATTATAAAAAATGGCAAGCCAATCTATCTTGATAGAAAGCAGATCAGTGGTTGATTGTAGGTGGGTGGCGTTATGGAGTGGGGTGAGAAGGACTGACTGCAAAAAGCTTAAAAAGAACTTTCTGAGGTGATGAAAATGTTCTATATTTTGTTTGGAATAGTGGTTACATGTATATATGTACATATATGTTAAATTCATTGAATTGTATACTTAAAATGAGTGCATTTTATCTTATGTAAATTACAATTTGATAAAGTATGTTAAAATAGCAAATCTGAAAAGGAACAGAACAAAATTTCAAATAATGATGTTATTTGGGGATTGCACACATTGCAATGACAAAGGTAATGGTATGACCATGGGAAAGGACTGTCTGAGAGATGATAGAGAAGAAGTCAAGGATATGAGAAGTCAGTGTTGTTTTATCTGGGTAGATATCAAAAACACCAAGAATTATGATAGAAGCAGTATTGGAAAGAGTGACAATGATGTTCAGGAAATAAGGGAGAGTGATCTGGAGATTGAAAAACTACAAATAATGAGGGACAGTGGGTGGTTAGTTTGATGTTTTGAGACTTACTCTAGAGATTTCTCTGTATATTATCTGGAAACAGAAATGGGGATACCTCAAGGGCAAAAGTAAGAGGAATGAGGAACAAATGTAAGCCATTTCAGAGGGCTACAGCTGATGTAGTCTTTTCATGAGAGACCTAGGTTTTTGAGACACTCCAGTTTCAACATATCTCAAACTGAATTTCAATCCATTTTCTTTACTCCATACAGAAACCTACTCTTTCTTTAGGGCTCCTAACTCTTTGAATGGCACTGCCATCTGCTATGGATTGTACTGTGTCCTGCCTTCAAATCAATATGTTGAAGCCTTAACCCCTAATGTGATCATTATTTGGAGATGGGGGTGATTATAGTTAGTTGAGTTCTGAGGGTTGGGACTTAATGTTGGGATTAGTGTCCTTATTAAGAAGAGATGAAAGGTGCTCTCTATTATGTCAGGACACACTTAGAAGATGACCATTTACAAACCAGAAAGATAGCCCTCACCTAAACCTGATCATGTTTGTACCCTCATCTTGAACTTCTGGTTATCAGCATCTCTTATCTGTTAGACCCATTTTTTTTCTGTTTTGTCTTGCTTAGCTACTAGTGTGTAGCCTGTAGAAGAATATAAAAGTCATTTTGTCTTAAAGATTCTTTGATCTGTTATTTGTAGAAATATTAAGGTCCCAGAAACCCTGGGGATAATTTCGGGGTTTTGGCAAATTTTCCTTTTCCTCAGCAGCAGGCATGACTGAGGAAATGATATTTATTGTGATTCACTTCTGATGTCAGGGAGTGAACAGATATGGGAAGAGGCAACCAACCTTGCCAACTGCATTTCTTTTTTAACAAAAGTTAGAGAAAGGATACAATCAGAAATTGGCTTAGTGAGTGGAAACATGATTAAGGGTGGGAGGCAGGAAGAGGAATAAAGTCTGATAATAGATATGGCAGGAAGGGTGGCTCTCCTTTAGCAAAAGGACAGTCAAAACACTGATATGTGGGGGGAAATGCAACAAAGTTTCACAGGAAAACTCAAGTTTTTTTTTTTTTTGTTGTTGTTGTTGTTGTTTATGTTATCCTGATTTAAAGTGCCATCACATAAAATTTGAAGATAAAAATTCCCTAGTTTAACTGACCAAGTACTTACCTCTTTAAATGTCTTTAGCTCAAAGACAGCATGTGAACCTTTGTAAAACAACTATTTATCTGTGTTTGTGACCTAAGTTTCTAAACTTGAAAAATAATAATAGCAACAATAGCCAACATTTATTGACATTTACTATGTAACTGACTACTGTGATTTTCATCATTGTTGTATTTAATTTTCATGAGGATGATCCTTCAAGGTGGATTGTGTCATTACTCTTCTTTTAGCAGTGAGGATGGTGAAGCTCAGAGACTGACTTTCTTAAGTACACTTATCTAGTCAAGAGTTGATAACATATTCTTCTCACTCAGCAAACCCAGGACTGTCACCTCTAGAACCCACACTATTAAATACTGCTTTCTCCTGTCTAATAGTTTTCTTGGATTTTTAATTCAATCAATTTTTATAATAGTTTTAAGAGAGTTTGAAAATGGTCTGAATATTCAGGGAAGAGTATAATCTCTTCCTTGTTTTTTAAACACATTAAACAATGTTTTTGACAAAAGAATTACATTCACAAACTTTACCCAAAGATTTCATTCCACAATTTTCTGTACAGATCACTAAACCCTAATTTTAGAGTGTTTGGTAGAGAGTGAAAACATTCATTTAACAATGGACAACAAACCAACATGATGGGCTATGCATTTAGAGAAAATAAAATATGGATTATAAAATTCACTGTTCTTAGTTCCTGGATACAAAGCTTGTACATATCATTCAGAGTTGAAGGACAAAGTTTTCATTGACTACATGGAATATAAAGGTTGTATGATATAGATTTTTAATTGTGACAGGAAAGTCTTAATCTCTTCTAAGAATCCCATCAGCAGTATGGGGAAGAAGTCATGGTAGAGTTTTTAAAACCATAGCCAGAGGTAGCTGCGTTGGAAATCATAGATTCATTTAATTTTTACCATTGATAAATATTGAACAATATTTTTAAAACTTAGCATTTTTCCCTTCTTGATTCTTATGTCCCCTCTCAGCATTTTCCATGAAATTTCTAGAGATCTTTTAAAATTTTTTTATTTGTTCATTTTAGTTATACATGACAACAGAGACTATTCCAACATATCTGTACAAACATGGGTATGTATATCTTATTCTAATTAGGATCCCAGTCTTGTGGGTATACACAATATTTAGATTCACTGTGGTATATTCTTATATGTACAAGATCTGAGGACCACATCTTCAAGCAAAGCAAAACAAAAAACCTGGACCAGATATAACTCAAATTTCTTCCAGAAAATCTGTAATATGTTTCAATGCCATTAGATACATGACACCTAAAGAATTCCATTTGATGAAATTCTGGAAGTTTTTAACTAAAGTATTCACATAATTGAAAATAACTGAATAAGATCATACATACTATTTTAAAGGATTAGAATTCTAACTCTTTTATTCACTAGTTAGGTGACCTTGGACAAAGTTACTATATATTGCTTGACTTTCTGTACATTTATGTATCCATAAAATGGGGTTAGTAATAAAGCACTTAGCATATTGCTTCCCATACAGAAAGTACTCAATAAATGATAGGTTAGTTTAAATGTAAGTCATTGTTATTTAATTCAACATTTACACATCCAGTGTGTGATTTGCTAACCTCTCCTCTCCAGATTATCACTCAAATATAGGAAGTCTATGAGGGTTAAATGCAGATCAATGCCAACAGCTGATTTGAGAAATATGACTTAATTGAATGAATAAACAGGCTAGACTAAAGGAACAATTTAGTTGCCCTATGAAGAAACATTACCTCTTGTTTGGAATTGGTAGATGTAAAAGGCTAGTTGGAAAACCAAGGCTAATTTTTATCCTAACTGCCTGAATAGTCACATGTTTTGCTACAATCCAGAGATACAAAAAGTAACTCTTATGCCTCATAGCCCAGCAAAAACTTATTTGTATGACTTTGCTGTGTAGGAATTCACTGGTCTTTGAAAAGACAGGTTGATGATGTCCTTATTGTATATATGTGATCAATTGAGAAATAACCTCAAATACTTTTAAAAAAACTACTTTGGCCAACAGGTGTTTAACTTAACATCTGATAAGTATACCTTATTTTATGTCTTTATAAAGTCATAAACAGGGTGTATAGTTTTAGAAACAAGTTACTTAAAATTTAATGTTTTACTATACTTACAATGGGAGGTACAATATTATTACAACATTGTAATAACAAAACTTTTAATAAAGTAGTAACTACTATTATTACTACTTACTGATGGTACTGTATAATTACTACTATTAATAGCAACCTACCTCCTAAATTGATTTTAGGATAAATGAGGTAAAATACATAAAATATTTGGAAGTATTTAGAAAAGGACCAAGTTGTTGTTATTATTAAATTATTATTACTCTGAATACTTCCAATACTCAATAAAAACAAATTGTAAAACTAAACAGTTAATGTACTCAAAGATTTAGGAAAATATTTCATTTCTACTTGGAATAACCCATATAAAAATGTTTTCGCTTGATGAATAATTTGGAAATGCATGTTTCTTTTTCCTGCTTTAGGGGTTTTCCAAAGTAATTTTAAGAAAAGTTAAGACATATTTTTCAAAACCTCCAAGGCAGACCAAAAAGAGGAAGTACAGGATTCTAAAATGAACCCTCCTCATGCTCTTCACATAACAGGCACACAGGCTACTGTCTTTTTTCTTCCACAGTGTGTATGTGACTCTGCTATGATGTTTTCCCATTATGAAAGAATTTCAGAAAGTTTTCTCTGGGTTATGTGGAAATTGAGTTCTCAAGTCATTCTTGGTCCTTTCTTCCACTCCTTTGAACTTTCCAAAACCTATCTCATAAAATCCAGATTCTGAGAGCTGGAAAGCCCTTCAGGATCATTTTGTCAGGTTCCTTCATCATATAGATGTAGGGAAAAAAGGTCTTCAGGAAGAGATATTTTTCTGAAGATTACATAGGAAGCTGCTGAAAATAGAATTTAGTTACTCTGACTACCAACTAGTCTAGTGCTCTTTCCACCATATCATCTTCTGTTTTTCAGATAAGATCTATTTTTGGTTGTCATCTAAGAACAGCCAAATATCCAGGCATTCTTCTAAAACTAAGAGTAGGAAAAAATTACAAAGTTCTTTTCCATCTCTAGCCCAAATATTGAGCTTGTTTTTAGAAGCTGAGGCATTATGTCAATAATACATTCTGTATGCTGTTATTGTAGCTGAAAAACTTACCTTCACAAAAAGCTCAATTTCAGGGTCTGTTTGAGTGTTGGTCCTCAGGCTTGCCATCTTTCTGTTTTACTTCCAGTTTTCAGAAACAAAAATTTGGATGCACTCTTCTTCCAGTTTTATCCAAAGGCTAGAAGAATGTAGATGCTTTAAGAAAAGAGTTACTTTCAATGAACTGAGTCAGACTTGGGACTAGTGTCTCCTCTTAAAGAGGTGGAACACAGAAATTTCTAAGAGCAGCTCTTCAATTTGTTTTCCTTCTTCCTCTTGATCTAACATTTGAATCAAGGAGGAGCTCAAGGGGTGGATGGCCAGAAGTGTGGGGGTGTTTCCAGAAAGGCTTCAATGCCATGAGTCAGCACAAGAGAAACACATACACACAAATACATGCATGCAGAGCTGGCTTCTATGTATCAAGCCAGCCAGATGTTCTTTAGAGCCTCCCTTTGAGTTCTGGGCTCCATGCCCAGAAAAGGGCCTCTTATGGCTGTTCCTGTAACCTCACAGCTTTTCCAGGAAAAGGGCCAGAAATGACTTGAATTTTTATCATTGAAAAGGATGTTTATCCAATGATACCATCTAAAACAGGGTTAAAAAAAACCATACTTCATCAAATGTATACACCCATAATTCTTTGGCCACACAGCCAGATTTCAGTTCTGGCTTGCAAATTTCACTTCTCTTCTGTAACCTGGGAATGCACACTGGAGTGGTAGAGTCTGGGGGCTTCTTTAGTATGCCCCTCCCATTTTTTCATTTCTTGGCAGTGTGAACTGAGACCAATCACTTCCTTGTTTTGGTGTATGTACCAAGAATGATGAGTATTTCTGCATTTGTGCTTGTCAACTCTGAGAAGGCAGTAAAACATCCAAACCAATCACTCCATGTTTAAGATGTTTCTGACAGCTGTATTTTCTATCTGCCAAAGCTGGGGGGTGGTGAGTTAATAAACTCTTTGGTGGGGGCTTGGAGCCAAACCAAACAGATCAACTGACTGGCTACCGCTGTGACCCTCTGTCTACAAGGCCAAATGTCCCTCATGCTCATATGGTCTGGGCATGAACCTGCCATTGCACCACACATAAATTCGTAGGATAAGACTCTTGGGGAAGCCTGTGCCACACCTGCAGGTTCTAGCAAGGAGGACCTGATATATAGTGAGTGTTTTTCTGGGTGAGGGAGAGGCCTGATAATTTCTCAAATGGTCTGATGGAAATCGCGCAGGACATCTGTTGACCAGCATTCAGGGTGTGTTTAGGACTGGCCATTTGGCAAGAACGGGTGACTGCTTTGTTTAGCCATGTTTTTTATTCTGCTCATCTATTTTTACCCTATTCATCATACCCTATTTGTTTACTCCAAAGACAATCAACAAATGTCTGCTCTGTGCCAGGAATGCAACTTCAAGCATTCTCAGTATAAGGCATCTTCATTCACCTCCACTGTCTATATGTAATCAGTATAAAATCTTGTCACTTCCACATGCTGAATATTTTTCAAATCCATGTTTCCCCACCCCACTACTCCAAATTTCAAACCAGCAATATTATTTTTAAAGTTTTAAATTTTAAAATACAAAATCACTGCTTCACTCTCAGACCTCAGAAGAAAACCACTTACCCAATCACAGTCAGCAGTGCCACAACAGACGGTAGCCTAAGGAGCTCTGCATGGTCACTCACAAATCATCAAAGAGATGACCTGTTTTTTTTTTTTTCTTTGCTTCCTAGGATGTTCTTAGTTGTGTTTTTTTTTTTGGTTTGTTTGTTTTTTTCTTTTTTCCCTCTTGGTACCAGGGATTGGACTCAGGGGCACTTGACCACTGAGCCACATCCCCAGCTCTATTTTGTATTTTATTTAGAGACAGGGTCTCACTGAGTTGCTTAGGGCCTCATCTTTGCTGAGGCTGGCTTTGAACTCAAGATGCTCCTAGTCAGCCTCCCAAGCCACTGGGATTAGAGGCGTACGCCACCGCCTCCGGCTCAATTTTTTCTTTTGAGATATCTTTTACATACCATAAAATTGGCCTGTTTTGACTGTACACTTCAAGGATTCTTAGCAAACTTATCAACAGTTGTAGCCATCATGAAAATCTGACTTTAGACATTTCCATCAACTGAATGATATCTCATTTTCCTACTTGTAAGCCATCCTGTGACTACCAGCAGAACCAGGCAACCCCTAAGCTACTTTGTCTCTATGGATTTACCTACTACAGTCATTTCACATGACAGGAATCATAGAATAAGTGGCCTTTTGTGTCTGTGTTCTTATTCTTCTCAAAATGTTTCCAGGGCTCATCCTTATTGTAACATGAATCAGTACTTAATTCATTTTCATGACTGAATGATATTCCACATTTTTAAAAAATACTCATCAATAGACAGACATTTTGATTGTTTCCATCTTTTCACAGCTGTGAATAAGGCTATTATGTATATTTGTGTATAAGTATTTGGGTGAACATATTTTTAGAAATAGAAAGCCTGAGCCAAACAGTAAATATATATTTACCTTATTGGAAACTGCCATACAGTTCTACACTTTTGCATTCTCAACAGCAGGATACAAGGATGCAAATGTCTCCACATCCTCAATAAAACTCATTATTGACTGGCTTTGTTTTATTTTATAATACCTATCTTATCAGTATGAAGTGGTACCACATGATTTTTATATTTTATTTTCCATAATGAAGTTGAATATCATTTCATATACTTCTTGGATACTTGTATTTGTGATTTGGAGAAATATCTATTAAAATACTTTACACATTTTTTTTAAAAGCTGACTTTTTGAATGTGATTTTAGTTGTTGATGGACATTTATATTTATTTATTTATTTTTATGTGGTGCTAAAGATCAAACCCAGTGCCTCAAACATGATAGGGAAGAACTCTACCATTGAGCCACAAACCCAGCCCACCATTTTTATTGAAATGTAGTGTTTTTGTTGCGTTGTAACTTTCTGTTTTGGATATTAGACTGCTATTA